TAAAAATGGCTAAATTTTAAACATTTAATTTTGTTTTGTTGATGACAATCCAGATTTAAGGAAAAAGAACCTATTTAAAAATGAATTTGAAGGAAATTTCCTACACAACTATAAAAGAACAGAAATAACAGAAATTAAGTAATCATTAATAGGTCAAAATTCAAATGAAAGCTGATTATGATTAAGCAACTTACCTATAGAGTTGTATGTAAAATCCAAGTAATATTGCTTATCTCCTGACATACTGGTGTAGAAGTCACTTACTAGCTATTTATTTAATCCACTGCCTTTCTCCAGTGTTCCTTGTGATTAGGTATGGCGATGGGGTTGAAATTTAGTTAGTGGAAATTGAGCAGAAATGTTATAGACACCACTTGCAGGATGGACACATAAAACCTTGGGCACACTTATCTCATTTCTCTTAACTGCTGCCTGAATGTTGACATCTGAGGCAAGCTTGGATGTCATGTATTAATTATGGCTAAAACCCCATTCTATGGGAGAGAGCCGCTCTCTCCCATCAAATGCACAAGAAATTAAATTCTACCTTGTTAAAAGTCATGGGCATTTCTCTTTTACATTTATTAATATCTATATTATGGGCTTTTAATGTTCATGATCTATCTATATATCTTATTAATACTGGAATAATGAAATAGTTTTTGTGAGTGTGACTACATCAATTCGCAGGCTGTTCTCTAATTGCACACAACTTGATACTGCAAAATGATCAAATGAAGCTACATAATGGAACGATTTCAAAAGAGTTCAGACTATCAAACTTGAAGTCAGTAGTCTAGTGAAATAAAATAAACTTTGTGAAATAAAGATCATTCCAGGAAGATTTTAAAACAAACAACACATGGTTTTAAAAACAAACAAGTAAAAAAACACTGCCATGAAGGTGAAAGCCAAATTTCTTTGAGAAAGAGAGAGTTTCCAAGATTTGATAAAAAATGCTAAGAACTATGCAGTAGAGAGATCATTTTAGAAATTAAAATATCAGTAAGTTTGCCTGTTTAAGGACAGGTTAAGACCTTGACTGCTTAGTCATATGGAGTCCTTCCCTTATCTTCAAAAACCACAGGATAAATAGCTCTAGATTATTCCCTCAGACTGTGTTGCTGGCTGACAGACATCTTCATAATAACCAGTTGGCATCTATCTCCTTTCCTCAAAGACAAAAAAACCTGTACCTCTGAGACATGTCATATAGCCATAGCAGCTCTAACATGAACAGAAAGTGTGGGGAGGTATCAGACAGCTGCCAAATATCTGGGTTTACCTAGGGTATGTACTTTCTATACTAGTGTACCCAAGATTACATCTTTCTTACAGAGTGTTAACTCTCCATTGTTGGCATAAGTCAGGTCCACTGACTCAAGAATCACATCATGAAAATCCTTTGAGTATTCATGAGTGAGTGGGATGGGATGAAATAATAATTTCACATTGAAAAACAGAATAGATTTAAGAGTTTTGATGTCTCAGGTGACATTTTTATCATTATTAATCTCTCCTTATATTTTTGGACAGCCTGCCACAAGAGTGCTATACCCTTGACTTTAGGCTATGAACTTTCAAAACAGTAAATAGTCATTGTATTGCATTATTTCTGTTAGCAGAATTGCAACTGCAATGGTAAATAGGACATTATTTAGATATTATTCTATCCCAAGTTTTATGTATCATTATAATAGGTGTTTTTTTTTTGTTCAGAGATGATAAATTTGAAATCTCATTACTTCTTATATATTTGTCTATTTAGAAATAGCTTTGTGGGGGCTGGGGTTGTGGCTCAGAGGTAGAGTGCTTGCCTAGCATGCATGAGGCATTGGGTTCGATCCCCAGTACCACATAAACAATTAAATAAACAAAATAAAGGTATTTTTTTTAAAAAAAGAAATAGCTTTGTGATAGGTTTGTGCTTGTATTTATAATTCCACTTAAACTTTATATCATAGCCAAGGAAACTATAAGCTAATGTAATCCAAAATAAAGTTTAACATTCTAGAGTTAAAATTTCCAAACTACTGTCAATATATTATTTTCAAAAACCCTATCATGATAAATATTTTCTTTTGAATTACTCTGGATTTATTTTACTTATTCAGTAAACAAAAATTAAAAACTCAATAAAAATAAATAAATTAAAAAATAGAAAAATGGCATAATTTTTTTAAGGATGTATGTGTGTGAAAGAGACAATGAGTATGTGTATGTGTGTGAGACAGAGAGGGAGAATGTGGATATTTATTTTAATTTACTTAATGGCCTTCAGCTTGAGTTTTCAAAAAATATCATGACTATAAGCAAACTGATAGGAAAGTAGATAACAATGAATTAAGGGTTACTGGCAACCTAAGACACCGTTTATCTCTTTTGAGGTAGACAGAATTCAAATTGCCTTCATTAGCTGAGCAATATGCTGTGGAAAATAAGCTGGGTACTTATCAAAAGGCTTTTTCATTTGCATTTTCACTAAATAACCAAGCTGCTCTGTTTTCTCCTTGCTCAAGAGCTGTAAATAGGATAGGAAGAAAATAATTCAGGTAAGTAAGCCAGGGGCATTCCAGGACTAGATTAAAGAAAAACAAAAGTTTATTGATGAAGATGTGAAAATTTTGTCTTGTATTATTTGTGATACAATAGTCTCACATGCAGTTTGGATCTAGTATATATAAAGGCATGAATTCTCCCCACATTCCCCAGTACCACAAGCAAAGCTAGAGGCTGTTCTTTTGATAAATGATCAATACTTTAGCCTGACACTACCCTGGCTGTCCTGCTGTTTCTGGTTAAGAGTTTGAATTTCAATTAAGCAGTAAATCTGTATGGAATTACATTTCCTACAGTCAATTAACATCTCACTAATCCCTTGCAATTCTGAAACATTATTATTTTGTACAGTTCTTTCCTTTAGGCACATTCACAAGGCGAAACATTCTTATTTGAGTGCTAAAGACATATTTTCCTCCAAATGAAAAACCAAGTATCAAACAACTGTTTTAAGTTTTTAGTCATGTGCCTGTATGTGCAGAGAATGTTCTATCATCTCCACAGTATAAGTTAGGAAGCAAACAGATAAACCAGTGGATTCTCTCAGTGACAAGTGACTTAAAGTGATTGCACACCTACAGGCCACAAGATTTTTTTCCTATATTATATTTTTTTCCTATATACCCATTCCTTGAAAAACAATATGCAAAACAAAAAACATTCACAGCAATGATCATACTCAAATGAGTGTAAACATTTCCATTTCATATGTCATCAAATCCCCTTACCGAGTTTTTCTTAAAAACTTTTGTCTATTTTTAAAAAGTGCTGGTTGATGCTTTAAAAGCTCATTAATAGAGCACACAACTAAGAATTATTACCGCCCTTCTTTGTCAAGGATTTCAGCATACTAAGACAAAATATTGGCAATTTGATAGTTTTCTCCTTCGTATAAGATTTTAATACACTTTAATTTATGAGGCCAAAAAGCCAAATTAACACAACTTCAAGACTACAGATTTTAAAGTTTCAGCATAAAGAAGTGATACGTATTTAAGGAGCTAGAAATATTTAATCTTATTTAAACTTTACACAATGTGTACATGTATGAAAATGTTACATGTTGTCCTGAAGTATATATAGTTATTATTTTAAACATTAATTTAAATTTTAAAAATAATGTGACTTTAATAATTGGATATATAATTGCAACAAAAGATTATTTTCTGTTTTCAGAACTTCAAGACCATTATTCCCCTGGAAGCAAACATACTTTTGCCTGTGCCAACAAAATTCTCCCATTAGAAGTACCACTCTTTTTAATAATTTAGAGTGCAAAAACAAAATGCTAACAATTGACTTGAAGTCTGAGTGATTTCATTGGGATGATTGTGTGACTTTGATAAAAATAAAAGAAAATTTCATTTTAAGTGATATCAGAATCAAACTTTTTTTTTAGTTTTTTTTCTTCTTTTTTTTCTTATTTCTTAGATACATCACAAAGAATCAAACAAAGAATCAGATATTGTATTATTAGATGCTTAGATATAGTTTAAATAGTCCTGCATAGAAAGAGCTTCCACTCACATTCTTCATAGCCTGCAATTTAAACTACATGGTAAGAATAAGAAAATACACATCAGACAGAGGCTTTTTGAACTGATGGCTATTTAGCCAGCTTTTAAACATTAATCTGCTTGACTCCAAGGTTTTTTGCTTTTCATTCCACTAAACTTGAAATCTCCTGATAAATCTGTCTCTGTCTTTTAAATAAAAAGTTTTGAAAAATTTAAATATAATTTATTTTGGAAAACAAGAACAGTTGTGTTTTCTTTGAAAACTGATTGCTACTTTAACTCAACCTCATTCTATCCATTACATGTTTGAACCCTGGGTGTCCTAAATGTGCGAAGCTATTACAATAATCCAGCTAACTAAACCTTCTAATGCATTAACAAAGCTTCATTTCATGACTAGGCTTAACTCATCAGGAGGAATTAAGAGTTTTATTAGCTGATTAGTTGTCATCAAAGCTATGCATTCTTGTAGAAAGAACAACATTCTACAATAGAGAGGAGGGAAAATATTTAAGTCTTAAAAGAATTAGGCACATGGATGCTTAGGAATTATATAAGTCTAAGATGCTATAATTGAATGTTAAAAAATCAGAATCAAAATATGCATTTTTGTCTAGAAACACGTGTCTTGTATTCAAGTAACTATCATGTTAGTTGTTTTATCATGAAGTTGTTTTTAAATTTATAGTATTTACAAATACAGTGTAAGGTTTTAATCTTTAACCAAAAGAACATATGAATAACTATATTATCTACTGACTCATACCAATTCTTGTTCTAAAACATAACAAGCCTTACATCTTGCTTTATAACTTTAAAGGAAAATTTAGAATCAATGCCTTATGCTCGTAAATTAGTAAATCCATGGGGCATTCTAAAAATAAAAACAAGTCTATTTACACTGCAAAGAAAGTATAAACTTACCATCATGATTAGGATTTCCTAGTGTCCATGGCTCATCTGAATCAAAATGAGTATCTCCTCCAATTCCTGGTCCAGGGAAATAGGCATGTGCCAAAAATCCTCCCTCCCCATCAAAGGGAGAACTGTCTCCATGAAAACCAGATGCAAATATAATGGTTATATCCACATCACGTTTGCCATTTTCTAATTCACTGTAGGGAACTTCTTCAAATGTCAGAGGAGTTACATTCTGCCACACATCAAAGGCACGGCGAATAGCCTTACGGGTCTCAGGGTCTCCTACTTTAGGAGTTACGTTCTTTATGCTGAAAGTTAGAAAAGACAATAATTAGCTCGGCTCTACTATGTCAATCTTATTTCAGATTTAGATCATAGCTCAGTAAAATGTAAAGGAAAAAACTAATAATATTAAATTAAAATGAAATTTATATATTCTTCTTGTCTTCATAGCTAGTTTTTACTCTCTTGGGATCATTTAATTGTCAGTAGTATAGTGTTTAATTATCAAAATTATCAGTGAGAAGATCTTTGCAGAATGGTTAAATAGTTAACAGTCAATTTGCCTCCTGGAGAATAATGCAGGAAGGGAGATCTGCCAAACAATCAAACATGTACAATGGGTTCAATTTAAAATAAAAATTTCAATTTCTTCATGTTTTTAATTATTTAGAGGTACATCATTGTATCTGCACACATCAATTTCAAATATTGTACTCATGCTTTTCTTTATTTATGAACACTAATTCAGCAGACATAATCACTTCTTAAGTTTTAAACAAAAGATTATAATTTCTGATACACTATTATATTTTAACTTTTCTAATTAAAAATGAACCGAGTAATCATATATGAATTTAAAGAAACAAATCAGACTATTTAGTTTGTTCTTATGCTAACACAAACAATGAAATATTATCAATATTATTCTTGGTTATGTTTATACTAATCAGATATTTATTTTTTCTAGATAATTTGTTTTTTTCTAACTGAAACATAAATGAAACTAATATGTATGTATATGTGTGTATATATGCATAAAATAGATATGCATACATATATGTATATAAATATATATTTATGCATATAAATATATGTATGTATAGATTTATATAAATGTTTATATTTATATAAGTATATTTATATATTTATATAATATATCATTTTATGGTTTGGATATGAGGTGTCCCCCAAAGCTCATGTGTGAGACTATGCAAAAAGGTTTAGAGGAGAAATGATTGGGTTGTGAGAGTCTTAACCCAATGAGTGATGGAAATCTACTGTGTGGTAACTGAAGTGGTAGGGTGTGGCTGGAGGAGGTGGCTTTGGGATATATATTTGTAGCTGGCAAGTGGAGACACTCTCTCTGCTTCCTGTTCAGCATGATGTGAGCTGCTTCCCTCTTCTACACTCTTCCAATGTGATGTTCAGCCTCACCTTGAGCCCCAGAAAATGGAGCTAGCCTTCTGTGGACTAAGACCTCTGAAACCATGAGCCCTCAAAGTTTTCCTCCTCTATAGTTCTGGTCTGATCCTTTAGTCACAGAAACAACTCTCTCTCTCTCTCTCTCTCTCTCTCTCTCTCTCTCTCTCTCTCTCTCTGTCTCTCTCTCTCTCCCTCATCAATATATATATTTTATTCTCCTCTGAGGATTGAACCCAGGGGTGCTTTACCACTGAACCACATCCCCAGTCTTTTTTTATTTTTTCATTTTGAGATAGGATCTCACTAAGTTGCTTAGGGTTCTAACTGAATTGTTCAGGCTGGTCTTGAACTTGTGATCCTCCTGCCTCAGCCTCCCAAGTCACTGGGATCACAGGTATGTGCCACTGTGCCTGGCTAATATGTGTGTGTGTGTGTGTGTGTGTGTGTGTGTGTGTGTGTGTGTATGTGTATGTGTATTTATTTAGTAATTTTTTTTACAGTACTGGGGATTGAACCCAGGGCCTTGTGCAGGCAAGGCAAGCATTCTATCAACTGAGCTATATCCCTAGCCCTAGTCTATATATTTTTAATGTTGCAGTACAATAAACCCTCGACATGAATGTACAACACACTGGGTAAATTCCACAGGAGTGATAAGTGAGTTTCAAACCCTTTCAAACAATAATGTCTTCCAAATATGAATTTATACTAAGAAAATATTTTAGTAAAAAAAGACTATAATGTTCAAGAACTGGAAGCTAGTGATGGAGTGATAGTCAAATTACAGTGTCTCTAATGTATGTCATTGTACATATAGAACTCAAAATTATTTTGCTTTTAAAATTTATTCATCAGCATATAAAACCTTTTAGCCAGGTGTGGTGATGCATGCTTGTAATCCCAAGGGGTTGGAAGGCTGAGGCAGGAGTTCAAAGCCAGCCTCAGCAATAGTGAGGTGTTAAGCAACTCAGTGAGACCCTGTCTCTAAATAAAATACAAAATAGGGCTGGGGATGAGGCTCAGAGGTCAAGTGCCCCTGAGTTTAATCCCTGGTACCCCCTCCCCTGTCAAAAAAAGTAAAAAAATTTAATATATACTTTCCAGTGGCAAAGAATAATATGGAGACGATATTCAACCCAATTGCAACCATGTCCAGATAACTACAATGGCAGTCAAGAGTTATGCTAAAGTAATAATTGTATTATTTGAGCATTCACTATAAGCCAGGCAAGCACATTACAAAGTCTAATTATATTCCTGGAACAACCCAATGAGATGGGCTTTTATACCTATCTTACAAAAAAGGAAGTTAAGGTTTACAGGAATCTAGAGAAATTTTTCTAAGTGTCAGATCTGGAGAGCTCTAAAAAGCTTTGTCCTAAGCATTGTCAGAATCCATTGTTTTGAATTCTATTGCTAGTTCTTTATATGAAAAGTAAGGTTTCCAATGACTAATTAATGGTCACTATTATTCATTATATACAAGAAAAAAAAAGCAGCAATCCATGTAGAAATGGAATGAAGGAGAGGAGTACTACAGAAAGAAATGGTAAGTGGAAGGTCTTCAAGTGGAGATAATCTTAGTAATTCAAATGATAGCATGGTACCTGGTATAGGTTAGAAAGTGGGTGGGGTGAGGGTCAGGACATTGCTCTGAGTCACTGCAGCATCACGAGCATCTTATTCTTCAAATAGATAACTTGAGCCATGATGCAGAAGATATATTAAAGCAGAACAGAAGTTGAAACAGGAAGACCCATTGGGAACTATTGTAATTACAAGTCTAGGTGCTTTGGACCAGTGGTAGTAGAAGAGACACTGAGAAGTAGTTGTATTTTGGATGTGCTTTGATGATAAACCCACTATAACTTATGATTAGTCATAAGCTGTGAGAGAAAAGGAAGAGCTGAGGAAGGCACCACAAATTTTTTACCCCAGCCAAGCCATGAACACAGTAAAATAATTCATGCCTTCTCAGGGAGAAAGGTAGGCAGTGTTCTGTTGTTATTTTGTTAGTTGGACTTAATTCTGTGTCCTACTCAGTATTGTTCTCTGAGTTATATTTTGAGAAAGAATGAACATCTACATTGAGCACTACAGACCTATGTCCAGCTTGGTCTCTAAATTTCCTGTTTTGTGGGTGAAGAGGTATGCAGAATAATGTTGGAACTCTGAATACTGACTTACCATATAATAGGTACTGGCCTAGATGCTAGAATCTTCTGTTACAGTGCTCACATATTTTAGTGACAAGAGATAGACAGTGAAAAGAACATAAAACAGTGATAATTTCAGATGGCAACATGAGGAGTGGGAAGGTGAAGAGAAGAGATTATAAAAATTATTTCAATGACAGGAGGAATGAAAAGAAACCCAGTACTGAGTTTCCCACCAGAAGGAACAATAAGCAGGTCAAGCAAACTGGGTCAGTTCAAAGCATGTGCCTGCTGAGTGAGTTGAGGTAAAATGAACATGACAGACAATGATACAAAATGAGAGAGGACTGGCGGGAATTGGATTGCATTCTGTGAAGGGGGAAGCCACTTCAGAATTTTAAGCACAGAAGTTCCTTGATATTATTCCAGTCACAAATATGGAAAATGGAGAAGGGGACAAGAATGGAAATAATAAAACATTTCAGAGGTCACACAAGAGAAGATAGAAATGTGGATAAGGATGGTAGCCATGGAGACAAACAGGACTGGTTTTACTATATTTTCTAAATAATTATACTTTACTATATTTTCTAAATAATTATACTTTACTATATTTTCAAAGAGAACTGTTAATGTGGATTGGTGATGAATTCCATGTGAAAAAGAGAAATTAATTGTTTACTTCAAGTAATAAATAATAATACAAATAGGAAAAATAAAATTATCAGTAGGACTTATATACAAGTACACAATGATTTTGAGAAAACAAAGCAAAAATACAGTAAAGGGTAATGAATGTGGAGCACTGTCTGGATTTGAAAAAATACATCCTTGCATTTTTTTGAAGCTATGTACTAATGAACTTCCAATATACTTCAACACAATACATGTGGTGTCATTAATAAATATAAGACATACAAACGTGCTTCAGAATCAGAGCTCAAGTTCTGAAACTGGTGTAAATAAAAATAGGAGTTTAGAAACTTTTATGCCATTGAGAGGTATTTTTTGTATTTACTAATATCTAAAATAAAAAGTGCACAGAGAGATCATGTGTAATAAGAGTAAAATAGACTGATATTCTGAACAATTCTAATAAGGAATGAGCAAAAGATTAAATATACTAACAAAAAAGAAATGCTATAAAATAAATATAATGAAAGTTTATTCTGAAAAACTTAACAAAGCTAAATTAATTTTAAAATATTTTACTTGCTTTTACTTCTTTTTGATAAAGTTAATATACTTCTTAAGACAATGGGTTTATTTTTCTCAAGTCTGTATCTGGTTATTTCATTATTCTATTTCAATGATTCTTTCAAACTTCAATTTTAATACATTTTGGAAATTTAACCTAAAAAGTTGATAATAGTTATCTTTCATATTAGATCACACTTTATACAATTTTACATAATATTGATGAAGGGAAAAGTTCTAGATGTTACTCATCAGAATACTGGTACTGGCAAAAAAGTATGTCATTTAGCTGACAATAGGTCACTGCAAAAAGTTAGAATTTTCTAGTTTTAACATCATGAGATCCATACCAGAATAAAAATTCTACATATTTAAGATTATTGATCCTTCCATTTTTTGATATACTGATAAATCTCTTTCAAAGTTACATTACTGTTTTATCTCTAATAGAGAAAACAAGAAAAAATAGCTACATATCTTTGCAATAAAACTATTATTCTTGTGTCAAAATTATTTTTATATGAAGAAAG